CAAACCCCTCCTCTACTGGAGGGGGCACGGGGAAGCCCAGCCCAAGCATGGCCTTGCTGCCCAGCTGAGACCCCCCATCTCACCCCATCCCTTTCCATCTCCCCTCACAGTGCTCTTCCCGAGAAACCGGCGCCGTTCCAGTACCCCCCGGGCTGGCCCCCAGTGCAGGAGCTGCCCCCGTCCCTGCAGGCCCCCCCGCCCGGGGGGTGGCCAGTGCCCCCCACCCTGCAGTGGGGCTGAGGGAGCACCCCCGGAGCGTGGCTGGGGCTGGAGTCCTGTCTGTGCCCCGGGAAAGGGACGGAGTTATTTATCTGCACTTTTATACCAATAAAACCCTTCCCCCTCCCTCGCAGCCTGTGCCTGTCGTGTTCCTGCTCTCCCGCAGCCTCCCCTGGGCTCAGCTGCTCCGAGGTTGTCTCCCTGCCTCTGGAATGTGGATCCGTGCTCAGCAGAGCTCCGGCCCTGCTCAGGGGCTGTCTGCTGTCACCTGGAGCAGACATTCCCTGTTTCCCAGGGCAGGATCCGTCCCCTCGGAGCGCTGCTGTCTGCACTGCCCGCTCTCAGTCCAGCTCCACGCTGGGCTCCGTGATCCAGGCTGGAGAAGGGAGCTGCAACCAGGCTTTTGGAATTGATGTTTAATTTCCTCGGGTGTTTATGACTTATGCTGGTTCCTGATAAATTCCGGGTGTGAAGCTGCCTGTGTCCAGGAGCTCCTGGTGAAGAGCCTGGGGAGCCCCTCAGCCCTGCTCCTGCTCCTGCTGCGCTGGGGGCGAGGGGCAAGGGGGGAAAACATCCCCAGGTTTCTCCACAGGGAGAGTTTCACCAACTTATCTCTCCTCACCAGGAAAGGGGTGGATGAGGGAGGCCCTTGGCTTTCTCAGCAAGGGAAGTGGGTGCTGCAGCTTCCCTGGGCGGGGGGGAATCCTGTCGAGCAGCATCCCGGGATGCAGCTCTCCGGCAGCGGGGCTGTCCAGGAGGGCTGTGCCCGCTGCCAGTGCATTCCAGGTTTGGCCGGGCACGGAGCTGGTGGGTCCAGATTCATGAAGAGCAGGGGCAGCAGCCAACTGCCTGTGGCCAAATCCCGCCTGGATCACGCTGCCACAGGGCAGGGCAGAGCTCCCGCCTCGGGATGTGATGGCAAATTGTCACGGGAGCGTCAGCCCCTGGGACCCAGCTCTGACAGGAGCAGGGACTGGATGTGACAGAAGCCTGGAAACAGCCTTGGCCGGAGCCTGGAGGAGCTCTGAGCCAAACTAGAGGTGTTTTTATCCTTCCGGCAGGAGCCCTGGGCTTGCTGGACAGCGGGAGCACAGGGTCTGGGATCAGCCCCGTGTCCCATCCTCAGTTCCCTGTGCAGGAGGTAACAAACATCCACTTGGGAGTGAATTTGGGGGTGAATCAGGGTCCCTTGGAGCACCTCCAACACAGAGGAACCCCAGGAGCTGCGGGATGCCGGCGTGCTCCAGAGTGGGAGCATGAGCTGTGCCTGATCTCTCCAAGCTTGGAAGTGCATCCCTGCACCCCCAGCCTGGCTCAAGGGAGAACCCCAAGGAGCTGGGGAATGCTGGGGGGCTCAGCTTGTCCCCCTCAAGCCCTGCTGACTGGAGGGGGACAGTGGCTTCTCTGCTGGTGGCAGCAGGAGCTGGGACATGGACATGGACACCCAGCGAGGCCACCGGCACTGACGGATCAAGGAACTCCCACTCTTGTCTCTCTCAGACTTTTTTGTTTCCCAGTCAAACATCAAAATCCTCCCCTGCTCCTCACCTGGGTTTGGAGCTGTGCTTCCATCAGCCCCCCAGACCCATCCCTGCTCCGTGTGCTCCAGTTCTGGTGGGTTTTCCAGCTGATCCAGGAGGTGTTGCTTTACCCAACACTCCCAAACTCCACAGCTCCAAAACTGCTCCCCAGGTCCAGCTTAAATTTGGTAGAGAGACACATCTCTGGTGGAGAGGCCGGAGCTCCCGGCAGCTCCCTGGGTGAGCTGTGGAGCCCGACTGTAAATGAAAGTTCCTTTGTAAAACACAACAGCCACAGCCTCTCCACACTCTGCCTGAGCTGCTCCTGGAGCAGAAATTCCCAATAAAACTGGAAAGGCAAGAGCGGGAGCGTTCCCTGCTGAGCTCCAGCCTGTCCTGGGGAGTGAGAGGGGCCGATCAGGGGCGTTAATTAAAACGGGGGTTTTCCCACAAAAGCTTGTGTGATCTGTGGCCCGTGGGCTGCATTCCCTGAAGGGTGTCGTGGATCCACGGAGCTGAACGTTCCCTGCAGGATGTCAGGGATTCACAGAGCTGTGTAACCCCCGGGGGCTCGGAGGGGGCCGTGAATTGCAGGTTTCTGGGGGTGTTACAGCGGTGTCAGGAGATGTAACGATGCCATGGATCACCACCGGGATGGGACACGGCCCCTGTGGGCTCATCCATGGAAAAAGGCCGTGGGAGGAGGACAGGAACAGGACGGGGCTCCCGGCTCCTTCCCCCAGGGATGGCTGGTGCTGGATCCCAAGGGATGCTGCAGGGATGGACTCACGTCCCCGGGGTGGGGGTGAGGAGCTGCTGCCCGATTGTGGAGCACGAGCCAAAGTGCCTTTGCTGGAGCAAGAGCCGGAGTAATTTATCGGGAAGCTTTTAGGGAAATGAGGCCCTGCTGGGCCCCGGCCAAACACAGCCCTGCTGGGCTCTGCCCGTGTCCTCTGGCAGCTCTTCCCGGGAGAGGGACGGGAATGGGAGTGGGAATGGGGACGGGATGGGGACAGAGGTGAGGGCAGGACAGGGGCAGGGATGGAAATGGGGATGAGGATGGGGACAGAATGCAAATAAGGATGGGAATGGGACTAGGGATGAGAATAGGAATGGGGATAGAGGGGGGGTCAGGGACGGGGATCAGGGGAAGGGAGAGGGGACAGGGATGGAAATAAGCATGGGAATGGGGATGGAGAGCAATCAGGGATGAGGATGGGACAAGGACAGGGATGAGATGGGTGTGGAGATGGAGGTGGGGGCAGGGATGAGGATGGGACAGGGATGGGGGTAGGAATAGTGATGGAGATGGGGACAGGGTGAGGATGGGATGGGTCTCGGGATAGGGAGATGGGAAAGGGACAGAGAGGAGAATGGAAATAAGGATGGGAGTGGGACTGGGAATGGAGACGGGGACAGGGATGAGAACAGGACAGGAACAGGGATGGGGGGGTGGGACCAAGGTAGGAACAGAGCTGAGCCCTTCTCACGCTCCTTGCAGCACCAGAGAGAGAAACAATCACTACCAACTTCTTCCCTTCCTATCCCAAACGCTTCCCAGTGCTACGGAACCGCACCCTGCCGCTCCTCCTGGTTTGCTGCCACTTTTGCTCCTTCAATCCCCGTGTCCGGGGACCCTGCACAGGTCCTGCTCCCTCCCACCTCCCCTCGCCCGCGGCAGCCCCACCTCCCGGCACATTCCCTTTTTTTTCCCCCCCTTTCCTGAATTGAATTATCCCGGAGCAGCCGCATGATCCGTCCCCGCTGCGGCAGAGCGGGAGCGCGGCCGGGACCCTCCTGCATCCCGCCTGCTCCGGAGCCGGATCTGCCGTCCCCAAACCTGCCTGAAGAAATCCGTTCTCCCAATTCCCGTTAAAGTTAATTGGGCCGCTTTGAAACGCTGAGCTGGAGGCGGGGGGGGGGAATCGCCTCATTCCTTTTATCTAATTTGTTTCTTTTATGTCATTGTATTTTCTGGCAAATTAAATTGTCCTCGTTTCCTTTTTGCTTCTCTTCTGTTTGTTCACAGTGTCTATAACAGACCTGGTTAAAAAAAAAAAAAAGAAAAAATATATATACATACACATATGTCTCTGAGGCCACGTGGCTCCTCTGGAAATGCCACTTCATAAAAAAATCCAAACTTTCTGTGGGGAGATGGATGAAATGTCATTACGGACACGGAGCCTCCCGCACTTTGCGAGGCAGCCGGAATGATTTCATTGCCGTGGAGCACTTCCCATTTCCATTCCTCATTTGGACGTTGGCTTCGATTTGTTTGATAAATTATATAAGATAAAAAAAAAAAAAAAAAAAAACCACAACTCCACCCAACCCCCAAATCAATGAAAACGCCGCCGATTCCTCCCGGCATCCCAAAAACGGGGTGTCCTCCCGCGGTGCTGCAGGGCGGGAAGTCCTGTGCCAGGGCAGGGAAATGGGTTTTCCCCATGGGATCAGCCAGGGTCTCAGGGATGTGAAGGTGGGGATGGCCTGGGATGGGCTCCTCCAGCCCCGTTCCCGTGGGAGGAACCCCCTGGCACGGCCCGTGGGGAGGGGCAGCGGCTTTGCCCGATTCTCCCACGGCCCCGAGCGCTTCCCCTGGTTTTATTTATTCCTTTAATCTCTTTGCCATTAAAAATGCAAAGAGGGGGATCCATTAGGTGGGAATGGGCCCCCCCAGCACAGGGAGATGTGAGGCCGTGGTGGTTCCCGATGTCCCTCAGCGCAGGAGGGTCACACCAGGGCCAGGTAACGGGGTGTTCCCTCCCTGCCAGCCTTGGGGCAGGATCCCCAGCCCAGCCCAGGGATGGTGGCCCCACGGAGCCTCTCTGAGCCCCCCAGCCAGCTCCTGGTTCCCCTGGAATTACTGTGAAGTTGGGTGAAAGCATTTTTGGGAAGGGGCTTCAGCTTGTCCTCCTTGTCAAGGCAAATGGGCTCAAAACATCCATCAAAGCCAACATGAAATATCAGGGATAAAACCACCCAGATCCGCTGGGAAAGGGCAGGACCCCCAGCAGGATCCACAGCTGGAGTGGGATGGGGGACATGGAGCTGTCAGGAAGGAGCCAGATCCTGGCTGCCCCCAGGTTTGGGGACGCTCCAGCCCCTTTGGGATGCCAGGAGGCCACGGATCCCCCACCCACTCCCTTCCCAGGAGGACTCATCCCCCTCAGCATCACCCCCGGGTGCTCCCATGGCCCTCCACCCCCACCCTGCTCCATCCCCCCCCATGTCTCCAGGAGCCCCCACAGCCCAGAGCGCTTCAGAAATCCCACTTTTATTTCAGATCGGAAACAACCAACCAGGAAGAACGAAAAAAAACCCCAACCCACCCCAAAACCCAAAAACTCCCCCCAAAGAATGAGAAACGGCCCCAAATCCGAACCAGTCCAGTGCCCAGGTGGGTGCTACATACAGGCTGGGGGGGCTCGGGGGGCTCAGGGCTCCCCGGGCTGGGGTCGCTCCGGCTCTTCCCAAGGGGGGTCGGCTCAAAGTGCATCAAGCAGGAGGTCAGGAATGTCCCCGCACTGGGCAGGTGGGGAAATCGAGGCACGGCACAGGGAGGGGGGACAGGGGTGGGCTTTGAGGGGGGGGGGTGAAATCCAGCCCTTGGCAGCCAAGTCCATGCAAACGCTCCCGGCTCTAGGAACCATCTCAGGCGCGTGTATTGCTTAGGGGATGATTTGGTTTATCATAAATACGAGCTATAACGTTGGATCGGAGTATCCGGCGGGATCCGCCGCGGGGGGGGCCGCGGGCCCCGGCGCGGGGAGGGGGCACACGGGGCTCCATGCACGTTCCATGCACTTACGGGTTGGTTTTTGCCCGGCGAGGGGGGCTCGGGGGGCGGCGGTGTCGGTACCGAAGTCTCCATGCGATGGCACCGCCCCGGCACGGCGGGGACACCCCCGGCCCCTCGCCGCCCCCCTCCCGGGGGGGGCACGTCTCTGGGCCACGGATGGATGTACAGATATATATTTATATATATTTATAGCTCTCTCCTGCTCGCCGCGGGGCCGCGGGGTGACCCCACTATTTCATGCCGCTGCGCAGCACCTGGTTGGCGGCGATGAGCATCACGCTGATGATGAAGGCGATGGCGAAGGCGCAGATGAGGCTCTTCCGCACGCAGGTCTGGCGGATCTGCTGGCTGGAGCAGGCTGGGAGGGGGAGAAAAACAGGGGGTTACCCCAAAAACACCCTCCCCAAACCGCGGCGGTGCCGCCCCGCGCCGTCGGTGCCGGGGGCGTTCGGCATCCCCGGCCGGGCACTCACTCTCCACGTCCACGGGGCACTCCTCGGCCGTGCCCATGTGACTCTCCTCCTCCGTCATGATAATGTTCTCGATGTCCTTCATGGACAGGTGCTCGCAGAAGGTCTCGTACAGCAGCCGCTTCAGCTCGTCCACCGTCAGCTTCTGCATGTCACACTGCGGGCACCGGGGTCACCCCGCGGCGGGGGGGTTACGGGGCCTCCCCCACCACCCTGGGGTGTGGCACTTTGGGGCCTCCCCACCACCCTGGGGTGTGGCACTTTGGGTGGGTCCCCCCGGTCTGGTGTCCTGGTGACCCCCCCGTGGGTGTTGGCACCAAACACCCGCCCGTGGCGGGGAGGGGGCAGGAAAACTGAGATTGGTGCACTCTGATCCTGACCCTGACCCTGATCCTGACCCTGATCCTGACCCTGACCCTGACCCTGATCCTGACCCTGATCCTGACCCTGACCCTGACCCTGATCCTGACCCTGACCCTGATCCTGACCCTGATCCTGACCCTGACCCTGACCCTGATCCTGACCCTGATCCTGACCCTGACCCTGACCCTGATCCTGACCCTGACCCTGATCCTGACCCTGATCCTAGTGATTACACTAAGACTAAACTGGAGTCTGAACCTGAGCGTGACCCTCAGCCTAACTCCAACCCTAAGCCTGACCCTGACCATAATATCAGTCTTAAACCTGTCCCTAATCCTGACTCCAACTCTAAACCTGACCTTAACCCTGATCCTAACCCTGGCTCTGACCCTAAACATGATCCTAACCCTGTCTCCAACCCTAACCCTCATCCTAAACCCGACCCTGACCCCAAATCTGACCCAACCCTAACCCTGACCCCTTAAACCAGTGCTGACCCTGACACTTAAACCTAAGCTGGAGCCTGAGCTGGACCCTAACCCTAACCCTAATCCTGATTCTTAAACCAACATTAAACTTGACCCTGACCCAGAGCCTGATCCTGACCTTCACCCTCACCCTAATTCCACCCCAACCCCAATCCCACCTTGAGCCCGACCCCAGCCCCAGCCCTGCCCCTTTCCCGGACCCCCCCAGAGCTCTGGGTGGGGGTTCTGGGGCGCTGCCCCTGGGGGTGGAGGGTGTTTGTACCTTCCAGAACACGGTGTCAAAGTCGGTGCCGTGGAACTTCTCCGGGATGCCCGAGGTGGACAGTTTGGGCCCCAGTAATGTCACAAACTCCTCAAAGTCCACCTGCCCATCACCTGTGGGACACAGGGACACGTGTGACACCCCCAGAGGGGTTGCAGGTGGGGACACCCTGCCTGGACTCGGGGGTGCTCAGATATCCCGACCCCATGGGGGTCCTGCTCCAAGCCATGGTGTTTTTTGGGAAGACCCCACACCAGGGCTTGGCGCTGCCTGGGGGCCCTCCCTGGGGCAGCCTGGGGGGACCCTGATCCTTGGGGGGCTCAGGCAGAACCCAAATCCCCCCAGATGTCCACCTGGAGCAGCAGTTGGTGTTAAGAAACCTTGGACTTCACCAGCCAGGCCCCCCAAACTGGCTGGATGCCCCCAATACCTGCCAGGACCCCACAGCAGGGACTCCTGAGGCCAGCTGGGAACCTCCAGTAAAGTTGGTCCCCAACTGAGGACCCCCAGTGTGACTGGGACTCACACTGGACCCCCCCAGTGTGAGCTGGGGACCCCAAATGTTGACTGCCCCCCTCCCAGAGCTGACTGGGGAAGCCCAACATCATCCCAGACCCCAATTCCAGGCAGGACCCCAATACCATCTGGAGGCCTCCCAGTGCCAGCTGGGGACTGTCACTGCTGTCTGGGGACCCCCAAAACCAACCAGGGACTCCAACACTGGGTGGGGACCTCCAGCAAAGTTTAGGGTCCCTGACACCAGTTGGGACTGCCAACACTGGCTGGAGCCCCCATTGCTGGATGGGGACCCCCCAAAACCACCTGAGGACCCCCAGTGCCATCTGGGTCCTGTCCAATGTGACCTGGGGACACCCAACGTCAGCTGGAGCCCCCCAGTTCTGGATAGGGAAAATCAACACGGTCCAGGACTGCAAACACCAGCTGGGATTTCAGTTCCAGCTGTGCCCCTGGTGGTGGCCGTGTCCCCTGTGGTGGTAGCCGTGTCCCCTGTGGTGGTAGCCGTGTCCCCTGTGGTGGTGGCCGTGTCCCCTGTGGTGGTGGCCGTGTCCCCTGTGGTGGCCGTGTCCCCCGTGGTGGTGGCCGTGTCCCCAGGGGTGCTGCCATGTCCTGTGGCCGTGGGGCCTCTGGTGTGGGGCTGTCAGGGCAGCACTAACGATGAGTAACGAGGGGAAGAGGAGCCTTGGCAGCGCTGCCAGAAAGGCTTTTAAATGGGGGGAAAAGGAAAACCAATAAATTAAGGAGCTCTTTGAGGTCCTGATGGGCTCGGGAGGGACACGGGCAGGGACAGGGTGATGGTGGCAGCAAGTGCTCGAGGGGCATGCTGAGGACACAGCCCAGGGTGCAGGATCCAGCCCAGGGTGCAGAATCCAGCCTCGGCACCACGATCCCAGCAGGCTCAGTGACCCCACAAGCACCCCAGGATCATTAAATCCTCCCAGATGAAGCTGCGTGGTGAGGATGGTGATGATGGATGAGCAGGAGGCTCCGGAATGAGGATCACACCTGGAGCAGGCTCATCCCACATCCCGTGCAGGGTCCAGCAGCACCCAGTGGGGTGGGAATGGGGAGAACCAGGAGTTCCACCGGAGTGGGGGCCAGGGGTCCCGTCCCTGTGCCCACCCCGTGCCCACCCTGTGCCCACCCAGGTCCTACCGTCCATGTCGAGGCGCTGGATGATGACCTCCAGCTCCACCTCGTTGGGCATGTAGCCCAGGGAGCGCATGGCCGTGCCCAGCTCCTGCTTGGAGATGAACCCGTTGCCATCCCGGTCGAACACCTTGAAGGCTTCCCGGATCTCTGCGGGGGAAGCGGGGATGAGTCCGGCTGCCCCCCCCCCCAGCACCCACAGATCCCCCCGGGCATCCCACCCACCCCTCCAGCCCTCCTGGGTGTCCCCACACAGGGGACAGGGCAGAACACTCCCCCACAACCCCCCCAGAAGGGCCTGACCCCCCAGGGGGACCCCACAGACCCCAAATCTTTGCTCCAGTTCCAGTCACCCACTCGCGTCACCCACCCTGTCCTTGTCACTGCCAGGCCTTCTGCAGCCAAAAATCCAGCATTCCACCCCCAAAACACATTCCTTGGATGTGCCTGAGCTTGGGATGGCACCAGGTGGGGCTGTGAGTGGGGGGATCCCCACAGTGCTGCAGCATCCAGCTGGGAGCACCCCTGAGGATCCGGGCTCGGGGTGTGCCAGCACCTCCTGGGGTGTTCCAGGATCACAGAGTGGGACCGTGGCCCCATTTTGGGATTATGGGCTGGAACTGGGCCCCATCCCACAGTCCCAGGGTGGGACTTTGCCCCCATCCTCCCATCCGGGGCTTGATGCCGGAGCTGTGCTGCACTTCACACCCAAAAAAATCCCAAATCTTGCCGGAATTGCCGCAGTGTTCAGCCTTTTCCTGTGCAGAGGAGGATGGGATAGAAGTGGGGAGAAATTGGGAGGATTTGGGGGGTTCTGCCTCCAAACGAACCCTCGGGATGTGGAGGAGGGTCCCTGCTGTGCCAGGCTCAGAGGGCAGTGGGGACACTGAGGCACAGGGTGTTCCCACGGGCTCCATCCCACCTCCTGCTGTTCTCTGGGCTTTGCTCTGTTTCGGGGGATATGTGGAGCTGGAACAAAGCTTATGGAAAAGAAGGACCACGGAATTTGTACTGGGAACAGCAGGAAGCTGTGTCGGGATGTTGGTGCCTGTTCCTTCTCTGTGCCAGTTGCCAGAGGGATTTATGTAGAAGGATCCCAGCAGGAGAAATGGGCTGAGAACTTTGGTTTTGGTAAGAAAACCCCACGTTCTGTCACATTACCAACCCCCAGCACTTGGGGACGTCCCTGCACGGATGGTGGCACATCAGTGACATCTTCTGAGGGGTTCTGGGGGAGTTTTAGGGGTTTTTTGGCCTGTCTGTGATGGCTGATCTCCTCCGTGGTCGGTGTCCCTGCCCAGGCAGGGGATGCTCCTGGGGAGCCCCGCTCTGCTCCAGGCACCCCCCAAATTCATCCTTCCAGGATGCTCATCCCAAAGAGCTCAAAGGAGGCTCCTTGTCAGACGATTTGGGGTGTTGGGGAACAGGCAAGGACATGTCCCAGCAGTGGCCAAACCGTGGCCCCAGCTGGGGCACCCCGACCCTCCCCACTGAGCCAGCAGCCCCTCCTGCCCCCGTGGGAAGCCACGAGGGGTGTCTGGGTGTCCCCAACGTCCCCCAGGCTGTGGGGGAGAGGGGCAGGGGGCAGCAGGTGGCAGCACGTCTGGCACCTCGTGGGGTCACCTTGGGGCTCGCGTGGCATCGCGGGTGGGCATTGGGGGGACACCCCACAGGGACACCCTGGGGACAGCAGCACCCGTGGGTGTCACACGGGGCTGGGTGAGGCACCACGGCATCCTGGGGCACGTGGGGAGAGTGAACACACAGACAGCAGGGTGTGAGCACACACACAGACAGCAGGGTGTGAGCACACACACAGACAGCAGGGTGAGCACACACAGACAGCAGGGTGTGAGCACACACACAGACAGCAGGGTGAGCACACACAGACAGCAGGGTGTGAGCACACACACAGACAGCAGGGTGAGCACACACAGAC